GCGTGCGAGACGCGCCCCGCCCGCCGCCGCCGTGACGCGAGCTCGGGGGCGGTCCCGGGGGCGGGGCCGGGGGCCGGGCGTCCGGACGCGGCCGGGAGGAGGGACGCGCGCGGGATGCGGACCTGGGGGCTGGGCGTGGGCGCCACACCGGAAGTGGGGGGACGCTGGACGGGCCCCTGGGGAGGAAGGGGGCCCCGACGGTGGGGTGCAGGAGAGCGGGATTGGGCGCCGGCCCGGGGACAAGCGGACAGGGGTGCTGGTAGCGGACGGAGCAGCGGCAGGGAGACTGGAGGGGCGCCTCTTGGGGTGCGAGCTAGGGGGGGGATGGGCAGCCCGGCCTGAGCGGCTCGCCCCAGCTCGGCCCCGCTTTAGGCCGAGCATGCGGCTAATTAGGATTCTGAACACCCTCCCCAGCATCCTGGTGAAACAGAGGGCGACCTGGGTCTTACTCTCCCGCTTGGCTGCTTCCACTTTGGACTTTGTTTAAACTTAAAATTCGGGGGTTTCATGACAGTTTTCATCTGGAAATTAAATCACAAAACGTTTTGAGAGGACAGAGAGGCCTCCATGGCCTCTTGGTTTCCTTGGAGGGTCTGTTAGTGCGGTGGCCATGAAGGAGCCCCTGGCAATGTGGGCATCCCAGCCCCAGGGAAAAAGAGCAGGCAGGTGGCCCCCAGCCGGTGGCATCAAGGCAGGCTTCTCAGGAAGAGAATGGACGGCCCCCCCAGGCAAGAGGCTGAGTCCTTCTGAGCGGGTCAGGTCTTCCCCTACATGGACAGGCAGGACACAGTCCACTGCTGAGTATCCCCCACCAAACGCCTTATGGAGAGTGGGCTGCCCCTCTGCACCCAAATGTTCTTGGGGGGGATGCAAGCCCCACATGCCTTTCGCTGTACCCCACTGCATAATGTGCGGCTTGGCGGGTGGGGTAGGACTGAAGCCAGGGTCACCCAGTGGTCAACCCTGAGCAAGGTCCTGCCTGAAAGAGGTGCCCCCTCCAGACACTTCCTTGGGCCAAGGTGGGGCAGGCCGGGCACTGGGGCCCTGACCACATCCATACCAGACCCTGGAGCTGCAAGTGTCTCCCCGCTCTTCAGATGTCTGCTTGTTTGAGTCCAAACGTGCCAGGGCAGCCAGTCGCGGAGGGCAAGCAAACGGGGACTGCACCCTTCTCTCCACATTGGGCAAGCCAGATGCAAACCAACAAGCTGGCAGGTCTCACTACACAGAGCAAAAGTAAGAGACAGTCTCGTGAAAGACAAGATGAAAACGAAACCCTTCTCCACAGGACAGACAGGAGAAGGACTTCTCGGATGATGGAAGTGATACCCAGAAGAAGTTAAGAAAAAAGACCCACAGGCACATCAGTGGCTCAAAACAACAATCGCTCCCTTCGCTCACAGACCTGCTATGTGGAATTACAAGGATAAAGAGACTCGCTCAAAAACTTTCAGAGAGAAAGGGTCTTTTTCAATCAAATTGAACCTGATTGGCCATTGATTTGAGAGGAGGGAGAAGCCGAGATGGTTCCTTGGCGAAGGATGGACTAAATTCTAAGATAATTGAACCTGGAATCCCACACACGATGAAACAAGCATTCAAGTGAAACAGAATAAAGGTGTCTGTCTTCACAGCCTGTAAACATCCAAGTTTACCACACTTGGTCCCTAAAATATTACTAAAAGGTACACCCTAGCCAAAGGAAAAGTGAATCCGAGAGTAAGACATGGATGCCAGCAAAGAAA